TGTGCATTGAAAGTCACTTAAGCACTTATAATGGCCTGTTGTGATGTCGTGAAAGAGACACCGTCCATACGCTAGACCTAAACAACCATTTTAAAGGCAGAAGTCGCAAACTTCTGGTGCATAAACAACGTGTGTTTTAAATGGCTTTAAATTAGTCCCTAACAAACTTGGCTATGTCCTTCATTTTAAAGAATGAGAATTCTATCAAGTCAGTTAGGAAAAGGTCTCTGAGATTCTGAATACTCTCCTAGCTAATGATGGGAACTGACACATTGAGGGAGTGTATATTTTCCACCTCATTTGCAGAATTACAGTCCCATCAAATGTGTGTTAGCCCCAAACACTTGGGGGTATTATGGCAAGCCTTGCTAATAAGCAGTGACATTCTAGTATATATACCGTAGTACTAAGTTTTTCCCGATTTAGTTAAAGCAGTTTGTGTGAATTGTGTTCTATTAGCACCAGAAGAGTCTTGTGACCTAACAAGAATCTTCATATTTCCACAAGTTCCTTGTAAGAAAAAAATATAGACTAATATTTTCATTATATTTCCAAACCATTTAATACTCTTATATTATAGGATATCGTAAGGATAATGTACCGCAGCTGCAAGATGTCAGCATTTTTTTAAAGCGCAAAACTGGTTTCCAATTACGCCCAGTTGCTGGGTATCTCTCTCCTAGAGATTTCTTGTCTGGGTTGGCTTTTAGAGTTTTCCACTGCACACAGTATATACGTCATTCTTCAGATCCTTTCTATACACCTGAACCGTAAGTTAACCGAAAAGAAATCATTTTTAATTCGTAATATATGTGTATTGTAATTGTTAGTGACTGTTGTCATGAGCTATTGGGTCACATGCCGCTTTTGGCCAATTCGAGTTTTGCTCAATTTTCACAGGAAATTGGTTTAGCATCTTTGGGTGCTTCAGACGACGATATTGAAAAGTTGGCAACTGTAGGATATATGATTATTATTAAGATATGATTTTAATCAAATAACAATTTAACTTTCAATATTTTAGCTTTATTTTTTCACTGTTGAGTTTGGTCTTTGCAAGCAGACAGACAATTCTTTTAAAGTCTTTGGAGCTGGTCTTCTAAGTTCCGTAGCTGAATTGAAACATGCTATTGAATCTAAGGAAAAAATAAAAAAATTTGATCCAGAAATAACATGCAGGGAGGAGTGTATTATAACATCTTATCAAAATGCCTATTATTATACGGATTCATTCGAAGAGGCGAAGGAACAGATGAGGTAAATAAAGATATTGCTACCTGTATTATTTCTGGAATTTTTGTTGTATTTGGTTTGCTATTGCCTCTTTTATTCTTTTATGTTGTTATCACTATTTTTAATTTAATCTTAATGTTTTGTTTTTTATGATAATAAAAAACAGAAATCATGAAAAAAACTAATGTGCTCACGATTTGTAAGCCAATCACGCTGGCCGTAAGCCACGCACAAACATTTTGATCCTCACTGATAGTACATAGTACTCTAGTCAATATAATCAAAATTGCCTTTATCTATATTTATAATTGAAATTAGTCAAGTAATCACATCCATAAGATGGAAAAAGTGGATTAAACTTTAGGTTTAGGCAATTAAAAATGATCTTCTTAGACTTATTGGCCGATTGTATTAACTTATAAGAGAAAAGTGAGCGGTTTAAAAACCACATTAAAAGGTGATATAAACCACCTCAAGGAAGAAAACATGATAAATAGAAAATTCCTTTAGAAATAGCTGACAACATAGAACATATATTAAAATCAAGTAACAACGTAAATAAATCATTGTGGGTATTATATGAAAAGTATATTAAACCAAATGAGAATTATATTTGTTAATAATGTCATTTAAGTAATAATAATTCTCACTGTGTATAAAAATAATTCTTCATTTATGACTATATTTGAGGATAATATATTTGAGAATTTAATATACAATTTTGACTGATATCTTATTGCATGAAAAATGTCTTTGCCTTCATATAAGTTAAATACGATTTGAAGATCTGTGTGTGAGCGAAATATTTTTTTTAATTGCTAGATAATTTTATTGTGTTAATGATGAAAAATAACTTTAGTCAATTAACCATTATGGAAATATCCAAGAAGCCACGTTAAGTAGCTACAATTTTCAACAAGTTTTTCGAGTATATAAGGGTGCATAACATGAAAGGCGTGTTCAATATTTACTATCTATGTGTAATCATAATTAATTCCATGTAATTTTACTTCCATGTAAAATGCTTTACTTGCGGTAAATCAGATAATCTAGGAGGTTATGCCACAGTTCCCATTTTGGAGTCAAAATTTGGAGTCCATTAAACAGAAGTTTTAGGAAAATATTGATTTCTCTTACAATAAAGACTGCAAATTCTAGTTAAAACAAATAGCCGTTTAAGACATGTCCTTTCATACACGAAAAAATAAATTGTTGTTTATGGAGTCTGTTCTGGTTTCCTTTGATAGTGACTTTTCGATTTTTATATTTGTCCAGAAGTACAGTCCAATGAATTCACCAGTCCATAAAAAGCACTAGATAAATACACTAAGTACATCGGTATCTGATGAATTGTATTACGATCGTGTTTCATTCAAATTGGATTAATAATTTATAAATGTTGCTTGGATGCTAGTCTCTTCTTGCTGAAATGATATGCCATTTATTATTTAATAATACTATGGTGTTAGTTAATGGATTAATTATCAGATCTTCACGTGTCACTATATTGATAAAATTTTGATCTTACTTAAAGAAGACTTTGCATAATTGAGAAAACGTTTTATAGTTTTGTTATGAAGTTCTCTCTCTCTCTCTCTATATATATATATATATATATATATAT